CGGTCCTTCCGGTCTTAGGTTATCCTCTGGACGTTTTACATCGGCCCTTTCTCCTCTGGTTGGCTTGTAATCGTCTTTAGGCCTTCCTTCGAAGGGACCTTCCGGTCTCAAATTATCCTGAGGCTTCTTGACTTCAGGACGTTCGGCTGTCTTCGGTGAAAAGTCATCTTTAGGCCTTCCTTCGAAGGGTCCTTCCGGTCTCAAATTATCCTGAGGCTTCTTGACTTCAGGACGTTCGGCTGTCTTCGGTGAAAAGTCATCTTTAGGCCTTCCTTCGAAGGGTCCTTCCGGTCTTAGATTATCCTCTGGACGTTTTACATCGGCCCTTTCTCCTCTGGTTGGTTTATAGTCGTCCTTTGGACGTCCTTCGAAGGGTCCTTCCGGTCTTAGATTATCTTGAGGCTTCTTGACTTCAGGACGTTCGGCTGTCTTCGGTGAGAAATCGTCCTTGGGCCTTCCTTCGAAGGGTCCTTCCGGTCTTAGATTATCTTGAGGCTTCTTGACTTCAGGACGTTCGGCTGTCTTCGGTGAGAAATCGTCCTTGGGCCTTCCTTCGAAGGGTCCCTCGGGACGAATATTGTCATCGTGTTTAATAGGTGTTCTACGTTCTGCGGGCGTGAACGGGAAGCGTTGCCTATCGGCGAACTCTCCTTCGGGGAACAGATTGTCCGGATGTCGCACGATCGGCGCCCTCTCGCCAGGACCGTAAGGAGCATGGAACGGTCTCTCGAATTCCCCTTCGGGGTACAAGTTATCCGGGTGTCTAATCGGCGTACGTTTCTCGGCAGGGGTGTACTCGCCCCTAGGCCGGTCTTCGAATTCTCCCTCGGGTCGGAGATTGTCTCGTGGCCGCTTCACTTCCGGCCGTTCGGCAGTTTTCGGGGTGAAATCGTCCTTTGGACGTCCTTCGAAGGGTCCTTCCGGTCTTAGATTATCCTCCGGACGTTTTACATCGGCCCTTTCTCCTCTGGTTGGTTTATAGTCGTCCTTTGGACGTCCTTCGAAGGGGCCTTCCGGTCTTAAATTGTCTTCAGGCCTCTTCGCATCGGCTCTTTCTCCTCTGGTCGGTTTATAGTCGTCCTTTGGACGTCCTTCGAAGGGGCCTTCCGGTCTTAAATTGTCTTCAGGCCTCTTCGCATCGGCTCTTTCTCCTCTGGTCGGTTTATAGTCGTCCTTTGGACGTCCTTCGAAGGGGCCTTCCGGTCTTAAATTGTCTTCAGGCCTCTTCGCATCGGCTCTTTCTCCTCTGGTCGGTTTATAGTCGTCCTTTGGACGTCCTTCGAAGGGGCCTTCCGGTCTTAAATTGTCTTCAGGCCTCTTCGCATCGGCTCTTTCTCCTCTGGTCGGTTTATAGTCGTCCTTTGGACGTCCTTCGAAGGGGCCTTCCGGTCTTAAATTGTCTTCAGGCCTCTTCGCATCGGCTCTTTCTCCTCTGGTCGGTTTATAGTCGTCCTTTGGACGTCCCTCGAACGGTCCTTCCGGTCTGAAGTTGTCTTCAGGTCTCTTTACTTCCGGCCTTTCTCCTCGTTTCGGTGAAAAATCGTCCTTTGGACGGCCTTCGAAGGGACCTTCCGGTCTTAAATTGTCTTCAGGCCTCTTCACATCGGCTCTTTCTCCTCTGGTCGGTTTATAGTCGTCCTTTGGACGTCCCTCGAACGGTCCTTCCGGTCTCAAGTTGTCTTCAGGTCTCTTTACTTCCGGCCTTTCTCCTCGTTTCGGTGAAAAATCGTCCTTTGGTCGACCTTCAAACGGTCCTTCCGGTTTCAAATTGTCCTGTGGTTTCCTTACTTCTGGCCGTTCCGCAATTTTCGGCTTGTAATCGTCCTTAGGCCGACCCTCGAACGGTCCTTCCGGCCTTAG